AAAAAAAAAAAAAAACATTTTATTCAGATTACAAAAATACATCATAATAAAAATAATCCTATTTATGATGTTTTAAAAAAGACTGATTTAAGACATTTTAATACCAATTAAAGCCTTAGTTTTATTTTGAAGAATTCAATGCCTTTTAAGGACCTGCAGGAACCCTGAGTTTTGACCAATTTATGTTATATATTGTTTATATCATAAATCCCAACCATAAACACATTTATTTCTGATGGGAACATATGGGAGGGAAATGTGTGTTTTTAAGGCTAAAGTCATTTAACTTCTGAAGGCTTTGCTGATGGTCGTGAGCATAAAGTTTCTCAGATAAGAAAGCAGCTGGACTGATCTAATATTTAATAAATGTAAATATCCTCATCATAAAAGCAGAGCCTAAGATTAAAAGGAAGCTAAAGAGAAAAGAATGACATACAGGTGATTTCACTAATCGATAGCAAAGTTACCATGAAAGGTGATTCAATGATAAAATAAAAAGGATCAATAAAAAGTGGGAGGGGCTTTAGCATGATGCTTAGCGTGACTAAAAGCCCACCTGTCGACCTCGTCTCGAGCCACAATGTCTCCTTTCTTCAAAGCTTTAATGGCAAACATCTCGCCTGTGCTTTTATATTCTGCTAACAGCACCTGCAGAAAAAAGCAGAAGCAGACATCAAAGGAAACGAGTCGTATCCTAACTTCACACACGATCAAACGTGTCCTACAGAAAGACGGAGGACGCACCTTCCCAAAATGGCCGCGGCCAAGAACCGCCACACATTTAAAGTCCTGGAGACTGAAGTGGAACTGCTCTTCCTCCCTGGAAGAGAAATCAGTGGATGCAATGTTAGCCGTGGACGCCAGGGGGCAGCATTTCCACACACAGGGGAAGACACAAACAAGGCTGCCCCACCTTATCTCTGCGTCCTTCTGGATGGAGGTGAGCTCCAGGTCCGGATGTTGGAACTCCTGCTTCAGGACCCCATCAGAGTCTGGTTCTAGGACCCTGCTGATTCGCTTGTTGAGGAAGTTGAATTCACTCAGGGCATCCTGCAGACACGTCAGTAACCATTAGGGTTTGGTGAAGCCAGGTAGCTGTTAGCGCTGCGGGGAAGACTCGTACCTCCACCTCGTCCTTGTTGGGCATCTTATTCTGAGCTGGTGGGTCTCTAGCGTCGTCGGGTGCTGCATAATGTTTGGCTCCTGGTGCCGCTTCTTTGTCAAAATCCAGCTTAGTCACCAGAGGATAGCTGTGATTGGATGACAGGGGAAGAAAGAAAACTGGTGTCACCAGTCCGAGCTGGCTGAGCTCCTTTAAGGTGGTCTGCTTCAAGAATCCCATATTTAGGACAGATTTAGTAATTTTACTGTAATGGCACCAAGAATAAGACTTTTAAATGAATGGCCGCCGTCTCACCTTGCTGATTTCTCCAGCGTTTGCCTGAACTTTCTATGGATTTGATCAGTTTTGGGTGCATACAGAGATTCATAAAGAGTCCAGAATTTCTGTCCAACAACAGCCTAACTTCTGCATAAAGAGATGTCTTTGATTGCAGTATGACCTTTGCTGCCGTTAATCGCACGCCACAAAAAAAAGAATAAATAAAAAATATAAAAAAAGAAAGAAGGTCACAGCAGATTGAGCGTCATGTCTGCAGGGAACGCAGGGAGGATCCATCACTCACCTTCTGGCTCACCCTATGATGGGGATGAAGTCTGGAGGA